TATGATGTATAGTTTATTGTAATTCCTTTTGTAAGTAAAATTTAAAATTTCCTTTTGTAATCCAAATTTAATAGTTCGTTGTTGCAACATTTTTTATAATATAGTCTGAGTATTACAAATATGGACTTCTTTAGCGGGTATATATAAGTATATTCGTGAACACAAATATATTTTCAACATTTCTTACCTTTAATTTATTTTTGAGTTATGATTTCATTTCATGCAATTTTCTTAACTTATATGTCATATATGAAGACATAGGTTGAGATTTTGCATCTATACGGCCCACGACGATGTCACGCACAATTAAATCTATTGCAGCGTTTCTGTGCAATTTAAATTTTTTTCCCGCCATTTTTCTCGAGTGCGGCGTTTACGCTGATGCGGCCTTTCTTCTGGAAATTACGCTACTTTAAGATGATGGTAAAAATTTTATAGGTTATATAATTTAAATTTTTTTCAAAAAATTTATAAAAATTATTTAAAAATATAAATTAAAAAAATAAAACACCAAAAATATGGGTAAATTTTATTTGGAATGAACCTAAATTTCAAAAATGTGAAAGGAAAAAATAATAAAAGTTTAATAAAAAAAGAGATATTAATAAATATTTACCAAATTCAATTAAGATTGAGGAGCTAAAATTTTGAGAGCTAATATTTTAAAAACTACTGGTACGATTTTTACAAAACTTGGTATTCTGGCATAATTTGAGTCGTAGAATCGAAATATGGGAAAAAAAATGATATGTTATTTCAGAAAAAGTCCGATTTTGTGTCAAAATACCTTTGTTAGAATAGTGTTATATATAAATCTAATATATATCCTTAGTCGCGCCTTCGAGACATGAAAAACACAGTTTGAATTTTGTCAATCGACCCAGTAGTAGGGGAGATATAGCACTGTCCCTTTTTTTTTTTTGAGCAGTGTACATAATTACATGAACATATTTTATTGTTAGTTTAAAAATTAAATTAATTTGTTTGGTTTAAAGTAACTATATTTTAAAAATTATTGTAATTTTAATCCTATATTTCTTTCTAAATAATAGCAATACAGTAGAAGTCCAGAAATCCGCAAAGCTTGGGACCAGAGGTTGCGCGGATTTTAGGAATTTCAGGACAGAAAAGATAAATCATAATATTCAGACTAACAGTGCAGAATAAATAAGGCACATTAAATACATTTAATTAAATTATTATATACATTATTGCAATAACTTATTATATGCATTAAATTATTATTACATATATAAATTGATTATATTATTCATTTTATTATGTATACACAGCATCGAGGTTTGCCGATTTCGCCTCATGCAAAGATTTCCGGTTTGGATTCTGGTGTTAGAATCACTGTTGCTGTAAAATTTCAACAGCTTTTCTTTATTTTTCCCTATATCATAGACAATGGTATCACAATTCCATACGATTCTGCTATAAAATAGACCTGTCTCCATCTTTTTGCAGAATTTGCACTTTTTGCATTACCGTCAATGCAACATGTTTACGTGTTTCAACGTTGCAAGCAGTAAAACCATGAGTGCGTTTCTTATCTGTAATTGTATTAAAAAGGGCTGAAATTAAAAATATTCTTACTTTATCCACAAAATATCTGGATAGAAAAAAGCAGCACTAAATAATCTCGTGAAATAACAAAGCTCAGAAAATACAACAACTTGAAAGAAGAGTTGAGTGAATTGTCTGCTTTCTTACCTCGATGCAGATTAGAGGGGAAGAAACTTTTATCATGATGTCAATAATTTGGTATTTCCGTTATGACTCATTATTAGGTAAGTATTTTTTCTTCAATACCTCGTACTCAATGTTGCGGTTTCCGGAACCTATAAACTGAATGTTTATATTTTGAGAGGCAACGCAGATTTCAGGAGTTGGTGGATTTTTGGTATTTGGCTGTACTAACTTATATTATTTTTCCTCTGAATTTGCCGTAATGTAAGTTGTAAGCATCACTTTCAAGGCCGAAGCTAGACCTTTTGCCATCACTATAAAATATAAATAATAAAAGTAGTGTCTGATAAATTCAAGAAAATTTATGTGTTTATGAAATAAATAAATTACATATCTAAATTATCTGAATAGCTGATTTGTTGACATCACTTGTTTAGCACGCAGTATGATGTGTATCGTCTGACAGACAGTTACAAAATGTTTTCGTCATTGCCATTGCCAATAAGTCCAAACAATAGTGGTCGAATTCTAACAACTGATCAACAATGCGAACTTTGAAAAACAGTTCCTCGATATGTTGCAGTTGCATATAAATTGTTATTATTAAAATTTAACATTATAAAATTAACAAAAACAATATAAGACTCATATCCTGGTGAAGTAGCCACCGAAAACTGTACTCTTCTGCCGTTCTCTAGCTTGTGCATTCTTTCCAAAAAATCGGGACAGTCCCGCTGAAAGCGAGATGTCTAATCACCTTATGGTAAACTTATGTCTGATATTGGTACATATATATATATATTCTATTTCAAGTTTTTGTTTTCATTTGAGTAAGTGATAAAAACCCTTTCTTACACAGATACGTAAAAGCAAGCTGAATCATAATATTTAGAGCACCACTGTACAGTTTACTAAATTCTCTTTTCACTGGCACTGAGGTCCAGAAGTTAATCACAACCTTCTACTGGAATTTGGATTTTATGTCTGGTGTTAAAATTAGCAGTTCTGTTTCATTCAATGCCAGTTTGTTATTTCCAAAATCACAGTAGAAAGGATCAAGAACCATGAAAATTTATTAATTTATTACTTGAAAAATAAAATTTTGTTTTAAATTGTGACCTCAGAGTTTCAAAATGCGAACACGTATAATTGTGTAACTCCTTTTCAATAGCAATATAACTTTCTGCTAAAAAGTCGGAAATGGTGGAAAGTTCCAGTGTTTTACACAACTAAGCAATAAATTAAGTTTCCTTTGAAATTCCTTTAATTTTCCATGAGCATTGAGAACAATCAAAGAACAACTTTGTAGACAAAGTTTCTTTCTTTTTTTTCTTTTAAGCCACACCCTTGAGGAAGATGTTTGCAGGAGCAACTACTTTTAAAAGACAGAAATTATTTTTATATGTTATAAATAAATACAAGAACCTCACTGTTTCATTGCAATAAACCTCTTCTTGGGCCATATTACTTACAAAATAAATAGACGAATTTGCCATTTTCAAGGAATATGTTAAGAATTTAGATCCGAAGTTTCATTGGAGAGGACTTTCCTTTTTTATTGGTAATAGCATAACACCCTGTGATTATCAAAACCTGAAACCTAGTAGGTAATATTTTTCCTTTTTAATGCAGCAGCTAAACTGCAGCTAGCAGACCAGAGAATGGCTAAATGTTTAAAACATTCATCAGGGTTGGTAATCCACATTACTGGTCTCAACATTAGGTAGAACTGTAATGTTTTGGGCATATTTTTTAGTATTCATGTGATAATATCTAAGTGTACCATACACATGTTTGAATACAAGCAAGATTTACAAATTTTACATTTAATAGTCATTTCTTTGTACAGTATCTACAGCAGTAAAAATGTAAATATTGGCTACACAGATGTTCCTTTGTCTTAAACAGAAATTCTTAAGGAAGGGAGAGCTAGTGAGAAAGCAACAAATGACAATGAAAGTGGAATAAAAACATAATGTTTTGGAAGAAAGCAGACTACTTATCAATATATGTGAAACAAAATACAGAGGAGATAATGTTTCTCTGTAAAACCGCTATTAGACCTGCTAGTTATCTTTAGTTGCACTCTGAAAGAAACATTTTCAGAAATCTTCGATTCCAGCATATCTGATTGGTCAACCTAATGAAAGCCTCCCAAAAATATATTCGGTCCTCCTCTAATACTGAAGACTGAGTTGAAAGCAAAACATTTCCTTCAGCTTCCAAAAATGTCCCAAGTAAATTGTTGAGTGTAATTATTTCAGCTAGAAACCTCCCGCTCAAATGAGTGCTGGAAGAAAACATTTCTCTGAATTTTTCATAGTGTCATGCATTGCTTCATGTAATAATTCCATAAATTTAATGGATCCAGATGCTGTAAGTAGAAATCTGGAATATCACAATTAGCTTAAAAAGTACTGATGCTAAGTTTTTGGACATTGATTAAAAGACTTAGTCTGCAGAGAACTTACTGACACAGATACACTTAATGGAAAAAAAAAAAAAAAAAAGAGGAAGAGGAATGCTGATCCAGATGATGATGAAAGTACAAACTGCTTTGTTTGTATAATAAAATATATGAGCCAGTTACAGGTTCATGTATGCATATTTTTACTTGAAGTAATATCTCAAAAGCAAAAGGATGTAGATGATTCCTTTTCACACACACATAAAGACAACAATTACATAATTTATGAATGGCTAAAAAGTACCTTCATATAAGAGGAATTAACAGTTTTCTATTCAGAAAATATCACTGTAAATTTGTTTGTGCCTCTGAACTACTTCATATTAGAAAATAAATTTATTGTGCACGCAAAACACACACGCTTTTATTAGAAGCTATTTATTCAACAATGAGCATCTTGAAATCTTTCAGTGATGCTCTGTTTTAGTAACCTTAATTATTACACTATCATTTCACATCTTTATTGCATTATAATTTATTGAAAATGTTGAATAAATTCTAGCATTTTCAATAAATTGTAATTCAAACTTTATTGTTGTTCCCACTGAATCTGTATTTTATCAAGAGTTTATTAATTTATTCTGAAAAAAGAGAAAATATATTTTTGTTCCATATTATTATTGAAATAATATATTCTAGATAACAAGATTTCCATCATGGCATTATAGTATTAATTATGCATTTACCCACATATAAAAAGACAATGCAATTATATAAATTTTTCAAGTATCTGATGGACTTATGATTTCAGTTAATAGATACATCTATAATTCCATTAAGTATTTATATTTGAAATTCACAAAGCTGATGATAATTTAAAAGTTAATCAAATAAAACTTACAATATTCGAAGAGGGCAAAGGAAGGTTTTCAGGTAATGCACGTCCTGCTATATGAACAGACTTGCATGAATTTACTTCCACTTCAGCGACTAATTCATCAATTAAATTAACAGCTGCATTTACTTCCTCTTGTTTTCCCTTTATGACAATTTTCACTGCTGAATTTTTATATTTAGATGAGTTGAATTCGAACATTATTGTGGCTCTTGTTATATCACAAATTTGCCTAAGGGGAAAAAAATAATGAATCATCATTGTTCAAATTAAGTATATTAAATTAATTACACACGCATATTAACATTTTTGTATGACTCAATTTTTCTCTCACTAAATCTGAAACTAAACATTTCTGAATACACTTAGATTTACCAAGGAAATACCATTTTTACATAGCATTTAATGTTCTGGTAATGCAAATGGAATGGTTTAGTTTACTATTTATTTTCATAATATTTAAGGTAAGATTTCACAATAAGTCAGCTTATACAGAAAACTAAATGTAAAAGCATAAAGCATTTGCATTGAAGATGAGTACTATTTAATGGTAGTGGTTTGGAGTTTCCAATACACAGAAAGCAATCTGCCTATCGCTGCTTATTGAGCGATAAATGTCATTAACAAGTTTTTAATTTTTGGTGAAAAATATGGATATTATCTAATATGACATGGATATGATTGCATTACTTTCCTTTCAAACAGTTAATAAGGCTTTATCCTGAAGAGTACAGAAATTTAACTTCTACAAGTTGATATAACATTTTAAGTTCAGATCTTCCTTTATCTGATCATGACTTTTCTTTCTTAATTAATGATTTGATGATATCAATTTTTCAGCAAACTGGTGGATAGAAATGTCCAGTTTCTCAAAGAACTTAACCATTTTCATGATCTGTTTGCTTTTTTTTCTTTTCTGGATTTGTTTTCCAAAATTTCAATTGTTACCAAATCGTTAATGCTCTTCATGCTATTTTAAAGTTAGAAAAATCATTGTTTTTGATACTTGATTATTTCTATGCTGTTTTACCAAAGCACCTTACTTCTTTCAAGGTCTCAATTATAAAAGTTGAACTATCAGGCTTTAATGAAAGTTTCCCCCCACCGCAAATATTGTATGTGCAAACAGTTCACGTTGCCGGGTTTAATCACATTTTATCAAATGATTTTTGGCATTTGAAAGAAAGAGACTTGCTTTAGAACATTGTGTTGTGAAATTTGTAAAACAAAATGCCATTATTATTATGTGCAAGGCGTCTGTAATAGAACTGTCACGCTACCAGATTAGAACCATCATTTACATCCAGTTCTGTTATGAAAAGGCAGCTACAGAATGTCACCAAACCAAGTGTACAGCTTTAGCTATTAATGTTGCATCATATGGCACTGTGAAGGTAAAAGTTAAAATAACAAGGACTGTGACGTTCAAGAAGCAGAGCGCTCTGGCCGGCCTGATGCTGATGAAACCCATCTGTGAGAATTTAATCTGTTAACTGGGTATGACAAAATTTTTCGTCATGCTGGGAAGACTATTTCAATGGGTATGACAAAATGTTTAGTCATGCTGGGAAGACTATTTCAATGGGTATGACGAAATGTTTCATCATGCTGGGAAGACTATTTCAATGGGCATAACGAAATTTTTCGTACATTTTTTTGCAATATGTCACTTGACCGTTGTTCAAGAAAAATCGATCAATGGAAACACTTGTCCGCTCATAAATTGTGATAACACTCCTAATTTGCACAATTTAATTTAATTTTAGTCTGCATTTTAGTATTTTACATATTAGTAATAACTTGTTGATTTGAGTAATTGTTAGTTTTTTATAAATATGGCTAAAATTATTGTGAAGCACAAAATATTTTTGAATTGTCTGAAAGTGACGATGAAATATTGCCCGGGAGGTTTGGTAAACGACGTCGAATTCTAAGAATAAGTACCAGTTCGCAAGAAAGCGATAACAACTTCTTTCCTGATGGTCCGGACATTGAATCAAAGGATGATGATGTTATAGACCAAAATACTCAACCCACATCAGCCGAATGGAAATGTGAAAGAATACTGCGATCGCCTTTCCCGTTTTTATCTCAATCTAAACTTACATTTGAAGGACCTGAAGAAAAGGATTGCCTTTTTATTTTGAGAAATTTATCGATGAGAATTTTGTAGAACTTATTGGGGAACAATCAAACAAATACGCTGGACAGTTTTTTGAAAAAAATAATTTCATGAAACTGTGTTCAAGATGTCTCTCGTGGGTTGACACAGATGACCAAGAGATGAGAGTATTTATTTTTTTACTAATTTTGCAAGGAATAATAGGAAAACCTTCTTATCAGCTTTATTTTACAAAGCGAGAAAGTCTGGAGACTCCATTTTTTTATAAAACTATGTCAGAGAAAAGGTTCCAACTGTTAGCAAAATTTTTACACTTTAGTGATAACAATGCTTTTGATCTAAAAGTGTGCAACAAAAAAACCTACAAAATCGATTCCATTTTGAACTATTTGAGAAACAAATTCAAGGTGTTATACGTACCAGATAAGGAAATATCTGTAGATGAGTCTCTTTTGCTATGGAAAGGAAGACTGTCTTGGAAACAGTACATTCCATCGAAAAGAAGTCGATTTGGTGTTAAATTGTATAAGATATGTCAAAGTAAATCCGGATACATAAGTGATTTCATTATATATACAGGTAAAGACATGCAGTATGGTTCGAACTATCCAGAAGAACAGGGACCAAATCCTATTGTTCTTGAATTGTGCCACGATTTGTTGGATAAGAACTATACGCTATATCTCGATAATTAGTATACTAGTACTGATCTAGCTGAGATGCGCAGAAGAAAAACCGATGTTGTAGGAACAATGCGAAAAAATAGAAAGGGAATACCATCTGATATCAAAAATTGTGTTTTGAAAAAAGATGAACATTGCTATACAGAGACAAAATGATTATGAAGTGGAAAGACAAAAAGGATAATTATATTGGTACAAACAATAAGAGAAATAGAAAAACAAAAACCGATAATGAAGTTATCGCTGACTACAACAAAAATATGGGAGGAGTTGATCTTGCTGACGGACTAATGAAAACTTATGAAATCGTTAGAAATCAAGTAAAAAAGTATTACTATAAGATATTTTTACATGCACTAGACATGGTGTGTTTGAATGCATATCTTTTATACAAGAAAGATGGCGGTCACCTAGATAGGCTTCATTTCCTTATCGAAACTGTAGAAAAAGGTGTTGAAAAATATAGAGACGGATCGCAGTTGCTATCTACTACTACAGGACGATCATCTTTGACACCAAAACCATCTCAACTCTTTGAAAGACATTTTGCAGACTATATACCATCCGACTCTTCAAAAGTAATTGTACCGAGGAGATGCAAATTATGCTATTCCAAAGGTCTTAGGAAAGAATTGAGATTTTGGTGTCCCGACTGCAGTGTTGCTTTGTGTATGCCGCATTGCTTTAGGGAATATCATACGAAATAATTGTTTAAATTCGTTCAATTAATTTGTTTTTCTGGATTAAAAATGTTTAATTTTAATATTTAATATCATTAAATATTTTAAAACAATGTTCTTTTATTTATTCCTTGCGATGTGCTGAAATTAATGCAAAGGAAAAAGTCCCCATTGTGAAACAATTTTACTGAAAGCTTATTCCCCAGTTAACAGGTTAAGGAAGAAGATCAGTACGCAACCACTCGAGAGTTTCCTATGAAGTTAGATGTTAGTTCCATGTCCATTAGTCACACTATACATCACATAAACTTGACATGTTCAATCGCAGAGTGCCGCATGAGGTGACTCAAGCAGATGAGCACAGATGTGTTCGGGCTTGCACTAATCTGCACAAATATCGACACAAGGACGAAATTCCTGGATTGGAACGTCACTTGTGATCAAAAGCCGATTTATTTCAACAAACAAGCCAAAAAGGAAGTTGGTCTGCAACCGGTGAGCCCGCAGGCAGTGTCGCAAAGTGCAATTTGACTAATAAAAAGATCATACTTTGTATCTGGTGGAATTGCTATGGTAATATCCACAAAGAGTATCTGGAAAAACGTAAAACTCTTGCCAGTAAGATGTACAGCGAGATGATAGTCTGTGTTAACGTTGCTATTAATAAAAATGTCGAACCAACTTCCAGCGCCAAATGTTCCATCAAGATAACACATGTGTCTGCATTCACTGGCTGGACTGTAGACTCGAATGGGATCTTTTGCCACACCCACCATATAGTCCCAACATCACTCCTTTGGACTTCTACCTTTCTTCACTCCTGGGGCTACATATTACTGGTTCTATCTTTTATTTTGCACAGGACGTCCGAAATGAGGTTGATCTGTTTTTTGGACTCGCGGCAACTAAATTTTTGAGGCGAAGGCTTTGTAAAACTATCAAAACATTGGCAGAATATCATAAATTTGGCTGAGGATTACTATCCACAGTAAAGGTACTGCTTTCATGCCTTTTTTTTTTAAATTTTATTAAAAGTGATTTTTGGTGGAAAACTTTCATTACAACCAGATATTTTCATTCATTACAGCTTTCATTAAATGATAGCATCTGACCAAAACTGATATTGTTTTGAAGGAAATAAAGTGTTACCACTATGAATTGAAAAATTTGCATATTTATTTTGATTAGCTGATACTTAATCAATGCAATCATTTCATTACTATCCTGTAGCAGTACACACTGTATGTGATTTTGTGGATTACTATACCAAACAATGCATCAAATCATTTCTGATTTGGCAGATGGGCATTCAGCTTCCAACTTAAAGGGTTAATACCGTAAGTTATGATTACACCTATGATTCATCAGAAGGCAACGGAAAAAAAAGCACAAGAAAAAAGGAATAATCTTATCATATTTCACAAAAAATATATACTTCTTTATTATTATGGCTCTTGTTTTGTAAATGGCAGCATTATTATCAATGCACACAATCTACAAATAGTTGGCAGTCCCAGTGGCAATGATTTACAGTTTGCCCATGATGAGAAGACTTCAGAGTAAACTTTGTGTAATCATAATTTCTTTTTTTTATGTAAATGTTAACAACTCATGATCATAACTCTCTCCTCACCAAAAGAGCTAAAATATTCCAAGTGTTAGTTTAAAAGTGTTTCTTTTCTTTTCTTTTATGCTTAAAATGTTTGAATTACCAAGATTGAGGAAGCTGCTATATCTTTCTTTCAAG